AGTATATATAGCCTATTATAATTACGGCCTTGGTCGTCCCCCGTCCCCCCCCCCAGTGTTGACTCCATGGCTACGGCCTTGTATACACATATACACATAATCCCTTCACAATCAAAAAACCCTCCACCACAGAGACACCAAGTTTCTCAGAAGGACGGCGAAATTCCCGGAAAATACAAAAATCTGTTTTAGCTTCTTCTTATCAGTATTGCTACCCGAATTTCTGCCTCCTCCTGTTTTCATTCTCATTGTTTCATGAAAACCACGATACAGTTTGTTTGCTCAGGCGTCTGACTGCCTCCAAGCTTGAAGTAATCTTTAAAATAAAAAACACGTACGACCAGAGGGTGTCGGCTGCTGTGGCGACTCCAGGGCGTTTTTACAGTCATATGCTGACCCAGCACTCAGGTAACATCAGGTAACCATCAGGTAACCATCAGGTAACCATCAGGTAACCATCAGGCTCTGTATTGTCACTCTTTCCTCCCTGTCGGTATCGACATCTTAACAGCAGAGGAACCGCGGCCTGTGCAGACATCGTTAAGCACGCCTCGAAAAAACGTACAAACTGTGCATAACCGGCGATTCACACGGTTTCCGGGCTGTCATCAGTCTGATCACTGACACCCATCACAAAGAATCGCTCCTCGTCTCCTCCGTTAACGATTCTCTTAGCATCATACGATGTTTTGTCTTGTATGTTTTTTGCGGCTAAAAGCAGGAAATGCATCAAAGCGTGTGTGCATGTCACAGGTAAGCTGACTCTGTGCTGCTGTCACCCCAGGGGGGGCTGCTGTGCGAATCCCCTACAGAAAGCTTCCTACGGAGCAGAGCACAGGCGTGAGGGGGATACTGGCTCTGATTTGGGCTGCATGGGGGCCCGGCTCCAGGTCTGCTGGGGTGGGGGTTACAGGTTTGAATGGTTGACCTGACACTGAACCCCCCCCCCACACACACACACACACACACACTATCCTGAAGAATGCGAACCTGGTTAAGGGCCAATTGGACCCTCCCTTTGGCCAGAGGCTCGTGAGACCAAAAGCCCGGGGCAGAGAGTGAAGGCGATGGTCTGAAACTGAGAGTCAATGTGCTTCCTCCCTCCCCACCTCCCAGCCCCTCATAAAGGCAGTGCAGGCTCCCAGGGCCCGGGTGAACCCCCCCCAAAAAAAAAGACAGCACCTTTGGACTCATGCCCATCGACACGCTGGTGTAAGCTTCTCAGAAAGTCAAACCTCTCTCGCTGTGGCTCTTTCATATTGCGTCCATTATAATCCAGGCATTTATCTAAAACAGTCATTCTCAAACTTTTTGGATCAGGCACCACTTTGGATCCAGCTGAATCAGCCAAGTACCACACGGGTGAACACGTCACATTGACGAAATACCAGGGTCTTCTCGCCTACCACCAGGGGGCGCTCCGGGTACCACGCGTGCCACAGTGTCAGAACCACTGATCCAGAGCACCACCCTATCATGCCTTTTCTTAGTCTTCCAGAACAAGCAGTGATGCGAACCTCACTTTGAGGGCTTGTGTGACGATGACGATGGAGGAAGTTTCCCTTTTTCCACAGGGCCTCCTCGAAACCGGCATAACTTTGCAGAGAGACTGAGGCTCTTTCTGAACGCTGTCAGCCTTTTGTGGCTCGTACAATAGGCTGACAGTCCTCTTTATCTTGATTGATGTAACTGCCGGGTTTTAAAAAAACTATTATGTCACTATTGATTCCCTTAATGCTTATAATTCAGGGAATGATTGAAACTGAAACATTATCAGTTGTTTCCCCCAAGGCTTTAAAATAAAGCGGAGCAGTGGGTCATTCATATATGTGGGAAAGTTTGCCTTGTACATGGAACACATGCAGCCTAAGGATATTTTACCTAATCTCTGATGACTAAGTGCAACATTATACAGGGCAACACGTTAACAGGATACTGCTGACGTTTTATAAACGAACTGGTGATTGGGCTCACGGGCGTACTCTCACACACACATACACACCACACGGAGTAGAAAAAGATCCAGTTTAAGATAATAAAATCGTGAAAAGCGAGCCATTTGTCTGTTATTAGACACCACTGAAACAACTCTACGGAAAGTTAATACCGTAATACACTTAGAGCCGTAAGAAGGTGCACTCTAGGTAGCGTAGGCTGGGTTATAGAATCTCCGCTGCTTAAGGGTATGACGTCGTAAAGGACGAATACTGCCGATGTTTGCATAATGAGTCCTGATTCGCAATCACCAGGCTGCCAGCTACCGCGACGCTGTATTAAACACTGAGACTAATTTCCACTGAAGTCGCACCTGTTTTTCTGCACCCCAGAATATGGGGGACTTAGGCAAAATTTTCATTAACGAAGCACTATCAAGCCTGATTAGGTCCTTCTATTAAGAATAAATATTTAATTAATAAAACGTCAATATAAAAAATACTGGGTCCCGGGGATCTAGTCCCTCTAAATAACACCGATGGCTGCCAAAGACAAATTTTATTTCTTAACCTTAACTTTATTTCAGGGATGGACCTGGACTAAAATATGCCCTTATCGTTTCCCTATACATGTCCATCACGAATATATAAATATATGCATACATAAATGCCTGCATGCCAGATGGCGAGTCAAGCCCTACTTTACATTTACAAGCATCAAAAATGAAAATAACGCCTTTAAGCAACATCATTAGAATTTTAGAACAAAACTTCCTACCAAGAATTGCTGCACAGTTTCTGTTACGCGGCGTTCCTATGTCAGCACTAAAATATGCGTTAATCCCTGGTAAACAATACAAATCCACATTATATCCGCATGCAATCATTATTTAAATTTGTATAATAGTAAGGCGGCCAAGGTGAAAAACCCAGCACTGTACCTTAATTACCACTTATTTCAAAAAGGTTTTTGAACAATAAGACTTTTCATTTTTAACTTAATGAAACTGAATAGAACGACTTCTGATTATTTCTAAGTGAAATGTGCAGATGGATATTACACACCACGGAATATACAGAATCCACCTGAAACTTTTAATTACTTTCTTGCTTCTATTGTGGAACAATGTCGATGTTCATATCAAACGCATTGTGTCCCGATTATTAACTGAAACGCAGATGGACTTTTTCTGGCAATCAGCCAAAGTGTAAAACTCTTGATTTTCTTCCCCTTCACTTTGTTAAAATAATTATCATTACGAGATCGCCTTTACATCATCAATGTGTACAGGACAATGATATCTTCATATAAGCATTACCCTACAGTGCTTTTTAAGCGTTGCATATGTAGAATAATAGTTAGCTTTCCAGTTTAAATCCACCAAGTTCAAGAACATTTTTGAATAATGAAAGACTAATATTAGCGTTGCATGCGTAGAACCATAACGAGCAATGATAAAAATGTCATACAAGGTATGAATTTAAAAAACACAAGCAAAGGTAGGCTAGAAGTCTACTGTGCAATCAAATGCAAACTTTTTGAAATGATCTTACCTCCGATATCGACATATTAAGGTACATAAAAAGTCCCGTCGTCGACGCGATTTGCAGCACGACAATGACAGTAACCACCATCGGCACCCACAATTTGGAGGTGGCATCCCGCCTGCCGTTCGCCGAAACCATCATGTACGCCTTCGATTCACTATTGACCGACCTAAAATAATCCTGATCTGTCTGGGATGCCATGGCATTCCTATCTAATGAGAGCAAAGCCAGCGCATAATTCGGGTCCAATAAGACTGGTTCTAGGGGACCTTTCCCCGCAGGAGGGCACTTGTCCAAGCAAACAAGCGGCACTGCATGGGAGCCGCTGGACTCCACGCGTAGATTAGCGGGCACTACTCCAGGTTTTTTCTCGATTAGCCGCCTGGATTAACCTTTTCATGACTGCTTCCTGAAAGACACACTGCAACTCCAGACCCAGATTAATGGTCACAAGATTTTTACTAATAAAAGGCTGAACAAAAATAAGGAAAATGCACAATGACATATGGATAGTCGCACCTGAAATTCTTTTTTTAATCATCCTGGTTTCGACTGAAATCATGTGTTATTTCAATTCCAAAAATAAAACACAAACCACCAAAGAGAAAATAATTTCACAATTACGACTCTATTATTTCACGCCTAACGTTTAATAACAAATCAAATATTTCAAGCACGCGTTAAAATAATAATAATAATAAGCCTGGGCAAAACCGGAAATATTTACATTTAACTTCAAACTTTGAAACAAACGTATAGCTTGCTTGACGCAGGCAGTCGGTTTATTCCCGGCGCTGTCAAATACGGCCAATCATTGTTCAGTATAAAGTGGAATGTTACAGAAGGGGTGCATCCAGGGAAAGGCGTTAGTCCATCAGAACAGACAAACCAAAATAGCTAATCTTACAACGAATCATTTATTTTACACACTTGACACTTCTGTCCAATGCAACTTTACAGTAGAACAATAGTTTACCATTTTGAGATGCTCCTGCAGATTCAAACACTTGCCCTATGGGTGAAGAGCTCCATGTGTTACTTGGTAAGCTACAGGTGATGCATAAGGTAGCATAAGGTATAAGACTGGATGGGATGTGGGACACAGGCCATTTAACCTATTTGCTAATCTGTGGACTGTGGGAGGAAAACGGAAACCTATACTTCATAAAAGGAACGTGCCAGGTGCACATGCACAGGACAGAGGTACTATAAAGGCCATGGTAAGGAGAGGAACACGCAAAGTGCACACGCACAAGGCAGAGGCACCGTAAGGGCCATGGAAATGAGAGGAACACGCAAACTGCACACTTACAGGGCAGAGGCACCGTAAGGGCCATGGAAATGAGAGGAACTTGCAAACTGCACACTTACAGGGCAGAGGCACCGTAAGGGCCATGGAAATGAGAGGAACACGCAAACTGCACACATACAGGCCAGAGGGACCATAAGGCCCATGGTACTATAGAGTCTGGGCTTAAGCAGCTGGTACAGAACAAAGCACATCTCTGATGGGCTGACACAAAGGCAGACAGACCTATTGGGATGCTGATGCCTATGAATCGCTCGTGTGAAAGCTGTGTTCCTGTGTTTGGTGTGAATTTTTTTGTGCTTTATCTACAGTACATTTAGTGATACAGTAAGCATGGCCCCTAAGAAAGTGAGCAGTGATAGCAGCAAACCGAAGAGGCAAATAGTGAGAGTTACTGTAGAAGGAAGTTATAGCGAGACTTGAAGGTGGTGCACGTGTGTCTGCTCTTGCTTCAGAGTATGGGATTGTCATTTATTTCATGTTTATTGCTTATTCATGTGTGTATTAGCTTTATATTGATTGTTAATGCTTTTTATCTTTAGTTACGTAGGTAGATAAGTTTAGACAGACAATCATTTGCAGGTCTGGAACAGATTAAATTCATTTACATTATTTCATAGGGGGACATTCAACTTGGACCTCGACAAAAACGCAACTCAACCAGCTTTCCGGAACGAATTAAGTTCATGTTCCACCGTACCACTGCATTAACCTTACAAAGAGCATCTGCCCTTTCTGTTTGCCGGAAAGACACAAGCAGCATGCCAGGACCAGAACTATTACCAGGACATACACAAGTTTCTAACTAAACAAACTGACACGTTTGGTGATCAGTGGTCATTGTCGACACACCACAATAAAATGTGTTCTCTGCATTTAACCCATATGTGACATCACAACATAGCAGGTGGTAGTTAATTTAGTACCTAGAGAGTGGTGCTTGTGGGGCGGTACCTTGTGCAGGTTTCCTCAGTGGTACCTTATCAGGGTGGATTCAAACCAGCAATCTTGTAATTACACATATGCTTCCCTAACCATTAAGCCACCACTACCCATTGTCATTGCCAATAATATAAAGTCTTACTTGACCAAAAAAAATACTGTTAGATATAATTACCTCTTTCATCATTCATTATAACAAGAAGGTTGTAAGGTGGCACGGTGGCTCATACCTCCAGGGGTGTGGGTTTGAATCTGACCTTAACACTGTGTGCCTGAAGTTTGCATTTTCTCCCCATGTCATTCGAGTTAGGCTGATCAGCCTCATGAAATTGGCTGTACTGTGAGTGTGTGTGCCCTCCAAAAGACTGGCATCCCATTCAGGGTATACGCCATCCTGGGTGTACCCCATCCAAGGTATGGCACATACTGAGTGCGCCCTGTCCAGTGTGTACCCCATCCAGGGTATACCCCATCCTGGGTGTACCCTGTCCAGCATGTACCCCATCCAGGGTATACCCCATCCAGGGTATACCCCATGCAGGGTATACCCCATCCTGGGTGTACCCCGTCCTGGGTGTACCCCGTCCTGGGTGTACCCCGTCCAGCATGTACCCCATCCTGGGTGTACCCCGTCCAGCATGTACCCCGTCCTGGGTGTATCCCGTCCAGCATGTACCCCGTCCTGGGTGTGCCCTGTCCAGCGTGTACCCCAGCCTGTCAAAGGCTCCAGGCCCCCCGTAACCCTGATCAGATTGATTGGTTAGAAGATGGATGGCAAAAAAAATCAGCAATCAATACATGTGTCAATAGGGTTAAAACATACAGTTCAGATTTTGTAAAGTCTGCTGTGATTTTATTTATTCAGTTTAACTTGTCTGCACAAGAGCTGTCAGGCTGTGCCGGCCGGGTGAGTGTGCGAGTATAGACAGGTGCAGAGGGAGCTGTGAGCTCCATGAGTCACGGTGTCTGGAAGCACTCAGGTGAGATTAATCTGTCGGAGGTTTATTTCCCGTCAGCCCTGCAGGGGCATGTCTTCAGGGGACTCAGGGGTCAAAAGAGGCAGAAAAAAACAAAAAATCTAAGAAGGAAAACGGCTCAACATATGGGACGTGATGTGCAAAGGACATGGCCTTACAGTCTGGGTTAATTCTCAGCATAGGCCACAACACAGAATTCCTTCAGTAAGTTTTCTATCTACCTCTCTTCTTAATCCCTTACTCTCCTGTAGTACAGGTCACCTACAATGCTTCCCTACTTTAGCTGAGTATATCAGTCCTCTATATTTACTAATCCATGCTTTTGGAAGACATGGAGCTGATGATGTACATAAACGTGAGGGGCTGCTGCTGCCTCACCTGTGCAATTCCATTCTGGATAATCTTTTTAAAAGTAATTAAAAAAAACATTGGACTTAGGAGTTAAATGTCAAAGTAATGTAAAACTAATATGATTTACCTCAAAATTACAAAGAAAAATGCTACATTTTTAGTATGGCCATAAATCTTTAAATTATGAATTACTTTTTAAATTACAGTTAAATGTTGTGATTTTATATAAATTTGTACGTAATTTGAGAAAGTGGGAAACATACAGTATAAATTAAACAGTATTTTTCCTTTTAAAAATGTGAAATACGTGTAATTTTTCATTACTTGCGTTATGCGTAAAATAAAGGTTGGTTTATTAATTCAGGAATAATTTCTGTAATTTTACAGAGCTTTGCAGACAGCTTTCAAAAAAGAGAAACTACTGTAAAAAGTAACTGTAAAATTTACAGTAATTTTCTGTAAAATTAAATTTTTTTTTACAGTGTAGGTTTTGAGGCCTTCCATAATTCTTCCCATGAAAACTGCATTTTTGTCTATCTGGTTACATTTCCCAAGCAACTCTATTCCCTTCTCCTGATCTGGGCATTTATTTCCTTCTCACCTGATTTCTTCTGTAGATCATCATTACGGATGGTGTTTGGCCTATGTATGTTAAAGGTCCTCAGGTACCTACATTATAAGATGCACTTTTTGTTCTTCTCGACTCTGATGTGTAGAGAAGTATGGACTTTACATTCATGAACTCAAAGCCTTGTGTGTTGGCATGTCTCCTTGGAGTTCCAGATGGACCTTGCTTTCCCTGTCCTTTCCAAGGATGCCTGCATCTGGTCCTCCTTCCTTTCCGATGACACTGCCAAGATATGTGAACGGTTTCCATTTCCTTCAGCTCAGCTCCTCCCAATCTGATACAGTCGTCACTGCAGTTGTATATATGTGGTATATGTTGTACATGTCTTAGCTAATATTGCTACTAGCCGTGATGTTGTGAATTGTATCTGAGTCTATGTGTGTGCTGGTAGAACTGCCATCAATAAAAGTCCATTTCATCCAATTCCACTCAGTTCCCCAGGTTTTATTTTCTCTGGGGCCAGCAGGAAAACTAGGGGCACCGGTTCAGATTCCAGTTTCTACAGAAAGTGTTGGCAAGACATTTTTTGCACTACTCTAACAGATGAGTGTTGGTAAGTCTTCTGTATGAGGAAGACATGAGCTCTTCTGATATGCCATAAAGACCCAAAGAGTGCTGTGGTCAAGGCTGTCGGAAACCTTCCGGAACTCAAGAAGGTCAGGGACAATGAAGAGTGTCTCTTCCTGTATAATGGAGAGGGCAGTTATTTGGCCAATAAATGCCTGCTGGTTTCTCTGATGTCTGCTCAGGATTATCCTGCTCAGAACCTTCCCAGAAACTGAGCAGCAGCATAATACCCTTATATTTGTGACACCCCATCAGGTTCCCTTTCTTGGGTGGGTTTCATCAAACTTCCACTGGAGAAATTTCTTCCTCCAAAATTTACCCCCACAATTCATACAGCACCTCTGTTGAAGTTCACAAATTTGCCTTACCTGCTTCAGGAGGTTTCCCAGCCGGACCTGCTCCTCTGATGTTCCTTGTTGTCTCCAGGTTACTTGGTCTACTTGGAAGGGTTGTGTTACTGGTTACGTCCACCGGATCTGCTGGTCCTGGCCCGTTTGGTAGTCCCGGAAATGTTCGACCCCACCTGCCCGGTCCGCTCCTCCTGTGTTGCCAGTCTTGCCTTTGATTGGTGTATCTGCTGGTGAATGTTTGTTGGCTAACTGACAGGTGATGATATACAACTCCGTCATATTGAGTAGGTTCTGCTTGCTCGGCAGATTTGCCTTTGTTCTTTTGTTTGTCTTTCGTAATGCTCCCTCTTACAGTACTAACCTGTTTGCCACTGCATGCAGCTCGCGGGCTTGTCTTCGCTGCCCTCGTACAGCTTACGTTGCTCCTTTACAGTATTGCATTTGTCTTACAGTCTTGCATGGGTTAACGCTGTATTCAGTGCAGGTCCTGTTAGTGTCTGCTATTAAACTCCTAAATTCGAGCCTAAGCTTGCCTATCAGTATAGGTGATGGTTTGTTCTGAGATTTACCCATACATCCAGAAGAGATCTCCTGGACTTACGGATAATATAGATGTGGTTAATCCATGGATATATGTTTGGTTTCAGCATTGCCAGTGACCAAACAACCCTGACCCGCCACCCCTAAACACACACAGTACTCCCACAATATTGGTAGAGACATACTGCACCATTCGTACCAAAGTATATACCTTTGGGACAATCAGATTTCTGTTTTTATCACCTGAAGATACCAAATGGTATTGTATGTTCTCGTATTTTGAAAGAAATGATCGATCTGTCCAAGGCACAGGAAGTCATGTTGGGCTCGCTGCTTTCAGCCATTTCTCTCAGGCCATGCCTCTCCACGATTTCTTCTTCTTCCTGTGTTTTCTTGGCCTTTCTTTGCATTGATGTCATCTGTCAGCAGAATGACATCCTTATTTTGTTGTGTTTTTGGTCTTCTTGAAAAAGCATCCCCAGTTTCTGGTTTGGCCTCTCTTGTTGGCGTGTAGTACCGGATGACCACTGCGGTCTGGTATTTTGTGTAAATCCCCACAGTTATGATCCAGTGACCGACCGCCTTTTATTCCCTCGAATTCTGAGCTGCGTCTTCCTCAAAGAGCTCAAACTCCACTGCCTCTGTATGTGTTGCACCTTTGCGTTCAGTTTTGACTCTTTGGTGGCCAATCGCATTTTCCATGCTTGAATCCACCATGTTTGGCACAGCAAGTTTCCTATTTCGGCTCCCATCTAAGCATCTTTGCCAGCTTCATACATCATCCTGAAATAGTCCAAGTTTCTCTCTTAACAGCATGTTTAAGTGTAAGAAGGAGTATGGGCTCAGCTTTCACTGTGCAAACAATTCCAGCTTGCTGCAAAAGCAGGCCTTCGCGACAACGGCCTGGGCATTAGGCTGTCTCCCGTATATCTCCATATTTCAAAATATCATAGTTTGCCTCTTTCTACCTCCCACAATGAGGGCAATGGGTTGATCTGTGGCGAATTTCCGACTGTTTAAAGGGGCAAAAATTGTACATTTCTACAGACACAACCTCAGCCAAGCAAAATAAATGCAAAATCACATGTCAAATACTGCAGCTGATTGCTTAGGGGCCCAAAGTGCTTCAACAGCACTGGGGATTTTATGAATACTTTATGCAACAACATGATTTAGGCAGTGCCAAAAAAACACAGAACTCCATCCCAGTGACACATCTGCTTCAAGTTTCTCTTAATTACCGAGTGACATCATCATAACTGTCACTTAAATATCACACTTAATTTAACTTTCAAAGTAATGTTTATATACATGCATACTTGTGTTTTTACATGGAGATATGCATGCAATCATAATGGCGATAATCATTTAAGTAAAACAAATTACATAAAAACAGAAAATACTTAATGCACCCTAAACAACTTCTGGAATAGTTTGGCTGCTATAGGGAAATGATTTATGACTGGGGAAAAATACGAATTGCATTTTAAAAGCCAGATTTAAAGCTGGATTTCTGTCTTTAACCCAAATAACTGCTCAGAAAATAATATTACTATGCGATTCCAATGGATATAAATCACTCAGTTTCAGACCCATGTAATTAAGCAACAAATGATTATCTTTCAGAAAGACCCTTGAAACAAAGAAGATTTTTTGTTTCACATGGGACAGATGACTTTGTTTGTAGTGAAGGGTGGGGATGAGTTGGGAATTTAAATTTCCATCCTGATCTATAAACAGGTCAGGCTTCATTCATTGTTCTCGCCTCCGTGATAAATGAACAGACACTTCCTCAGGCAGATCATGTGAAATAACCCATTGTATTCACAGAAAGTGGGCTGATGTGTCAGTCTGCTTGTAATGGTTACGCTGGGAATATCCTCCAACCAGGCATAAAACGTGACGTTACAGCAGCAGCAGACGTTTGAGGAATTTCTACTGTAAAGCTGTTATACTTGGTAATTTAAGCTGCTCCTGACCAGCCGTGACCTGCAGACCAGCAATTTACCTCCACAATGATTTAACCACCTGTTTAACAAATAGGAATTAATGCCACAACTGGTTCACAGTTTAATAGGCAATTTCTTAAAATAGACTTTGCACACAGAATGCAAATATATGGCCAGAAACTATGAAATGCATGCCATGATTCTTTTGGATACCACTCCTTCATGCTCCAAGCTTCCACTAGTAAACATGTTTTGCAGAAAGAGATCTTTGTATACACCCCATTTTTATGAGGATAATTCAAGGTGTCTGACTGTTCGGACCAGGTGACTCACATAGCAGCATAAATCAGTTTTTCCCAATCCGTTCCTCAGGGACCCACAGACAGTACACATTTTTGCTTCCCACACACTGGGAGGGAGGAAAAATGTGGACTGTCTGACAGGGAGCTTGGAGGGAGCAAAAACGTGAACTATCAGAGGGTCCCCAAGGACTGGATTGGGAAACACTGGCATAAACAGCTGCTCCAATAATAATTTTTGTGATATATTGCAAAAACTTCTGGATTATTTTTTTATCACTGTAGAAGTGTTTATAGTAAGTTTATTATAATCAATTATTTTTCAATTCATTTAAAATGTTTTGTAATTCGTAAAGGTTCATTTTTAAGTAAATTTCACAAGCAATGTTGGTTTGTGCAACATGGAGTAACATCGTTCAACATCTACTTGCATTTCTTCACCAGTTAATGTTCCACATTAACATGAGGCGTCTTTCCTGATTGGCACCCAGCACAGGGCGGGTACACGCTGGACAAGGTGACACACCAAGGCCATTGTAACCTCATTGGTCACCCAGGAAGAACACGCCTGCAGGGGGCGCTCTCAGCATGACCCGTCACCCAAGCCACCGCATTGTGCCCCATTGGTCAGTTAATGTCAATATAAAACACCAAATGAAGAAACACCTTCCAGAACAACTGTCTGGTATACTATAAATAGTTCCGGTCCAGAAAGTACAACTCCATACCAAGGTTTTATTCAGCCAACCAGATGAGTACTGTGACTCTTTCTACTCAATTGGCTGGTTGAAAGAAAACCTTGGTCTGGATTTGTACTTGCAGGACATGAACCTTCTACCTGTGGACTTTACGTCATTTACTACAATTACATTTACTAGTATAATAATTATTAGAGCATGAAGAGAAGCTCACCGGCAAAAGCAGAGAGTCTGTTAATGGTAACATTTATCGTGAGCCTATAGCAGCCAAACTATTCCAGAAGTTGTTTAGGGTGCATTAAGTATTTTCTGTTTTTATGTAATTTGTTTTACTTAAATGATTATCGCCATTATGATTGCATGCATATCTCCATGTAAAAACACAAGTATGCATGTATATAAACATTACTTTGAAAGTTAAATTAAGTGTGATATTTCGTGTTTGGGGGGGGGGGTGATGTGATCTGAGCAAGAGAAGCGTACAGACTGCCAGCCCTCAGACAGTGAGCCAAACAGCCTCGCATGGCGTCTGCTTTATTGTTCTCAGGATGGGGGAAAAGCAGCTAGAGGACGGGAGGGGGTCTGGCCTAGAGATGTGGCCGTGATAGATGGAAACCTGGCAGACCTACTTCTCAGTTTCCTGTGGGAACAGATGTGACTGTTAGCTATTTGCTGGGGGTGGGGGGTATTTGCAGTGTTCTATTGGGAAACACCACTGTATTTCAGTATTCCATGATCCTCTGTTGACAGACAACAGACATCCATGACATTTCTCATGTAGGGAGATAAGGCTCGATCCAGATGGAGGGACTTTAACATATAAAGGCTTCATATGTCACACGGCTCTTCAGGTCCCACCCCACAGGAGTTTGTCTCCCCCATGTGTTGGTTCTGTGTAATGACAAGTATGTCACTTTTCTGTGGATAACCTTTGTACTGACTGAAGCACATCCTAAAGTGCAGGGAACACTCAGATGGTTTTATACAGTTAGGGGCAGTGATTAATTTGTAAATCAGAAAGTCCCAGAACGCGAAGGCCATATGAGAGCGGAGGGGTATTGAGGCGGTTGCAGGTTCCAGAATGCATACAAACACGGTGCGGGAAATGCCCATCATCTATCCATCCATCCATCCATGTCCTATTCAGGGTTGCAGGGGGTCTGGAGTTTGTCTCGGAGGCTAGGGGCACAAGGCAGGGAATAACCCAGGATGGAGCGCCAACCCATCGCAGGGCGCATTCACACACCATTCACACTCACACACCATTCACGCACACATGCACACCAATGGGCAATTTGGTAACAGAACTGAAAACATGCAATGTATTTTTAAGAATAAGTCTAAACTAATAAAGGACATGAAACTGAGTGAAAAAAGGTCTGTAAATTAAAATACATACACTGAACAAAAATATAAACGCTACACTCTTGTTTTTGCTCCCATTTTTCATGAGCTGAACTCAAACATCGGAAAATTTTTCTACATACACAAAATACCCATTTCTCTCAAATATTGTTCATAAATCTGTCTAAATCTGTGTTAGTGAGCACTTCTCCTTTGCCAAGATAATCCATCCCACCTCACAGGTGTGGCATATCAAGGTGCTGATTAGATAGCATCAATATTGCACAGGTGT